AAATGCTGATAGCTATTTGGTAGAGTCATTAGAATTTTTGTTATTAACATGTTATCTGTTATATTTTCACCTGCTAATCTTAAATCATTAGCTAATTTTTCTAGTTTAGAAATATGTGCTGAAATGTTATCTGTGGGGTCCTTTACGTAACTAAAAAATTTTTGTTGTAATAAATACATATTCGCCTCAGATTTTTGTTCGTAGACACTTAATAATTTTTCCCACATTTCATATGCACTGCCACAATTAATTAAATATTGCATTGGACCACTTTCTACCGAAGTTACTATTACCTTTTGACACTTACTGTCTGCTTTTGTCCAAGCGATTAATTGATTTTTATGCCGGCTTCTTGCCTCTTCATCGGATTCCTTGTCCGAAAGTTTAGTTATCTTGGAACTTGGTCTCGTCCAGTCCCCTGTAATCAAACTACCTAACTCAAATGAGTTAATTATTATCTTCATCTGGAACTTCCACAATGGCCATTCTTCTGCGTTCGCCAACTTTGACACCTTGACCGAATCTTCCATGACTTGATCAAATATATGAACTGCAAAAAAACGTACCTTAGTCTATTTGTTCCCTGTTAGAACCTGTCAAATTCTAATGTTGAATTTTTCTTTTGTTGTCCTGTAATCATCAATGACGATGATCTAGTGATCTAGTGATCTGGGCCCATAACCTGTTGAAAAGGAGGTTAAAATGTGGATCGACAAAAGATAAAATATACAACACAATTTAGTTATAGTAAGAATACGTAATATTTCACTAAAACTAAAACACATAACTAAGTATGAAAAGCAATTTGACTTCTAACAATGTAAGTACTAAGCTTACGAGATATACATGACATACACATAAGTAATACCTATAATGCAGTACCTACAGTACACAACTAAACAACCTTATATACTAATGATCTACTGACCCCTGGCTCACGCCACTTTACAAGCTTGCTTATTGGCTAATACAATATCACGCCATATGTGGTGTGATTTATCAGATTCTAGTAACAGCTATATTTTGTTATACACAATATGATTATACTACTAATACAATATTAAATTATATTCAACAAGAATGTTTAGTAAATTAAAATTAAAAAAAAATTACCTAAGATCGAAAATGGCTGATCAACGATTAAATGCACTGATGATATTGAGTTGTGAAAAAGACATAACAGATAGTTTGGATATCGATGATCTTGTACACAAATGGGCAACGCTGAAGCAACGCAGGGTTCAATTATAATTCATAATATTTTTTAAAATTTTAAGTACTGTAACTCATTTTATAAACATTTTGTAATAAAAAATAAGCGATGAATTATAATTATTACCTATTTCATATGTTTGTTGACGTTATTTCAATCTGATATAAATTTAAAATAAGTTAGGTATTTCTAACTTTCTAAGTTTCCACTTAAAATTTAATTCAAAATTTCAAACTAAGAATTGAAACATAAGGTAATAAAAATATTATAAATTTACAGAATGTAACTAAAAATAACTAAATAGTTCACAAAAATTTTGAATTTCAAATTCTAGTCGGCAATTTTGAAGATTACACCCCCCCATGATTTTTTTTTTGAGGTCGTCCCTGCGACATTTGACTGTGTTGTTTATTACTTAGCAGGGTAATATATATTATTTATTGTTAATCTGTAATACTACTTTTAGACTACAGTATATTGTATAATGTATAGCCAAAGTTTAAAATACAATTTATAATTTATATTTATCTATTTGATTAGATATTTAGCCAGACGGATTGCAAAGAAAACGGATTGCCCTGACTGCTTAGCTGGGATTAAGAGCTTCGAAGAAGTTACCATAAATCATGCTGAATTAGTGAACCTAAAATCTCGAGGCTATTTAACTCACCCAGACAGTCATTTTTATGTACTACTTAGGAGCATTGAGAGTTCATTCATGAAACATGCAAATAGTGCCTATGTGTTTGATGATACTGTAGAGGACTTCATATCAAACAATTATATAGTACCATTTCCTTGTAATGTCCATAAAGAAAAAGTCGAATTGGATATACTAATATCATATATCACAATGAGAATGCGTCAACATTCCTATATGACTAATAAAAAACTAAAAAGTCCAAACATAATAAAAAAGAAACTGTCAAAGTTAGTTTCCAAATTGTATTAAGAACAATTTATTTGGAAATAATTGTATACAATTAAAAGTATGATTAATAAATAAAATACATATTAAAAATTTAAGAAATTTAAATATTAAGAAGGGACCTGGCACAGTGGCACATCGACATCGGTAACATAAATGATTTTCTATGATAAACGGTAGTATTGATAATAAGTACATACATTATACACTAGGGCTAAAGTAGCGCTGGGTGGTTTGACACATCTTAGCAATTAGTGTATTCAGTTTATCACATTCCTTTCCGTATACAGTATATCTTAATTCGTGCTGTAGTCATATGCAAGATTTTTAGATTTTTGTGAAATAATAGGAATATCTACATTGCTATTTAATATTTAACCTTTCTGAAAGTAAAAACAAGTTTAATTTTAAAAACGATGAAGTTAATTTAAGTCTTTAAACTAACTTTTTATAAGATTAGGTGTAACCTAACCTAACCTGTGTTTAAAATAAATATTAGGTATATATAAATATGACTAATAATATACAGTGTGTATACTAATATAACTTACAGTGTTTGGATCATTGGTGTATTATTAAATGAAAATTCATCAATAAATAATAATCTATTATTATTTAAATGTAGTTTATGTATTTTTTTGAAATTTTCTAAATTACTTTTTTAATGTACTGTAGTTTATTATAAGACAAATCCCTAAATAAACTAAATTATAAATACGTGTATTAATTAAAATATACTTGTATTTACAATATTAATATCAATATACATTTCTTAAATAGTTTCAAGCATTTTAATCAATTATTTAACAAAATTGTAAATTTTAATATATGACCTAGAATTCTGTAATTTCTTCACAATATTCCCATCCACTCATTATTTGATCTATTCTGTTATAACTTATACTTAAGTAAATTCAATCCGTATAACCAGCCTTTGGATATTTTTCTCAAATTATTATTTTCTAAATGCCTGCAGGTAAGTTGTTCATCTTATTATAGGATATTTTTAACTCTACTAAATGTGTCAATGCGTTCAAGCAATTTTTACACTTAAGTTGGTGATTAACAATTTGACTGCCTCGAGGGTCATATTTATCTCTCACCTTACCTTGCAATTTCGTTTGGTAAGAAATTTAAAAACCGTCTGTATTAGCTTTGAGAGTTAAATTTGATACACACTGTGGTTGTTGCTATGGGCTATGAGCATTAAATTTGACTCTCATATATTTTATTATTTTATTTTGTGAGAGTTGCGTTTAACTCTCATTCATATGCATCACTGGAAAGAGGAGAAAAAATTGAATATTAGGTTATAAAAAGCGGGAGCAGTTTTCATTGTTTTGTACGTATTGTGATATAGGTATATAATGCACCCAAAAATGATCTATTTTACTCTAATTAAATATCAATATACTAACAAATTAATTAACAGTATGGGTACCGGCCAGTAGGTAAGTAAAATCATACAAAATTAAACTTAATATAACATATTTTTATTTTTAATTTGGTAATATTAAATGGATTGGTACAGATAATATGAATGAACATTTTACAAATAACATTATGTTTATTTTGCCCGGACTATGTGGTCATAAAAAAAACATTCGACGCAGTACACTTTTTGGCAAACTGCACACCAGTAATTTGATGGTTTCGTTATTAGCTGGATGCTGAGCATGTTTTCTTCCTCCTTGTTTTACCGTTTCATCGTAACATTTCGTCGAGTTCTTTTTCCAGATTTAGATAGTTTGTATTCAACTTCTTCTGTATTGGTTTCTTCATAATCACCACACATATCTTTTACCAAAATTTCTTTAAATTCAGTAATTCCAATTTTCGTTTTATTTACTTAATTGTATAAACACATGGCATTTAAAACTGAAGTGCTCAGTATTATTTCAATTGCCACTTTCCTATACCATTTCATGGATTTTCTTAGTGGACTGTTATGAGGACCTCTGATCACATATGTCAACCAAAGCTTTTCCTTTGTTGTAGTCGATAACAGTTTTTGGTTTTTTTGTAGTTTGACCACGTTTATTTATTGTAATTTTTCAATCATAGTGTCTGAATGTTTAGTGGACATAAGGACATAAGGATCTTATTATACTATAACATTTTGATAACTACACAAATATTGCGGAAATACACTTATTAGCTATGAGCATCACATGTAACTCTCACATAAAATTCTATCTATTTTAAGCAAAATCGATTCAGAATACCGTAAACATCATATGATAAGATAAACATCTACTTTTATTAAAATAAAACCAAAAACATTTTGACTTTAACTAAATTATTAATTAAATTAATTGTTCTTGGTGTGTAATTAGATCTTTTTAATTGTTCACAGACATTTTGTAGACTTTGAACTATAACAATAGTCAATGAAGCAGTCATGTACTGTTCTCCACTGATAGCTTTTGTTGCTTCTTCAAATGGACTTAAAACTTGACAAAAGTGTTTTACAGTTAACCATTCTTCTGGGCTCAAGGTATTGGGAGCTTTGTCTAAAAGACCTATTGTTCTTCTGATTGCTACTTCCAAATCAACAAAGTGTTGTAGCATATAAAATGTTGAGTTCCAACTTGTTGAAACATCTTGGAGTATTTTTTTTGGTTGTTTTCCTCCTAAATTAATTTGGTAAGTCATTAACTTATGGTGAGCAGTGGTACTTTTTCTAAAATGAGTGGAAATATCTTTAACTTTATCAATAAGACCAGATTCTTCTTTTAATGCAGATTGTACAATCAAATTAAGGGTGTGAGCAAAACAGCCAAGATTTTTTAATTTTAAAATGTTTAACGCATTTTTTATATTAGGTGCATTATCAGACACAGCAAACACAATTTTGTTTTACACACCCCATTGTTGTAAAACATTCTTGATTTCCTTACTAAGATTTTCACTTGTATGGCTTTCACTGTAAGGATGGCAACTCAATAAAATTGACTTGAGTACAAAATTTTGATCTATAAAATGTAATTTTATAGCCATAAGACCTTCTGTGTTTCTGGAAGTCCAACAGTTGGTTGTAATACAAGCGGTTTCCAAGTCCTTTTCAATTACATCTTTCATTGCATTCAAACATTTTTCATACTCTGCAGGGATCAATACTTTGGATACGGAATGGCGTTTAGGAATTTTATAAGCAGGATTAAGCAAATGTACAAATTCTTTGAAACCAGCATCATCAACAACACTGAATGGTTGTAAATCTTTTGTAAAAAGTTTTAAAAAAGAATGGTCCAATTTCTTTTGCACATCAACGGACATTTTTTTTAGGTATGTAGTTAGTTATTGCTAACTGTTTTCGTTTAAGTGGTCGCGGAATACTATTATCTTGAACTTGTGTTTCAGTTTCAATTGAAATAGCGAAATTACTGGTACTGTCGAATGCTGTACTGGTGTTTACTCCTGATGTTGAAGGCAAAGGATCATCAATGTTTGCAACAGTTTCATTTACACAATCATTCCGTGTTTTGTGTTCATATAAAAAAAAAACATTTTTTGAATAACTAGTGTAACTATAGGTGCATTATATTAGTATTATCTTGCTGATAGTTTGACTTTAATTTTTATGTATATTAGGACACTTTCATAATGTAAAACTAAAACTAATTAAATTGTATTTAAGTAAGTTACAGTAACAGTTGTAAACATGTTTTGGTCTTTTTTGACAGGGTTTTTTTTCAATAATTTGTGTAAATTTTAGACTGTATGTATCATAGTTATTTAATTTGTTAATTATTATACAGATTGTTTACACTTCATAAAAAAATAAGCCTTCTAAGCTTAATTTAAAAATAAAAAATGTATTTAAGGTACAACTAAATTACAACTCATTACTCATAAAAGCCAAACTAAAACATAATTAAATTTATTTTTACTTGTACAGTCGAAGTAAATGAATATAATAAATGAGCATTATGTAAATGTTTTTTCAAGTTTGTGACACTTGTTTTAAAAGACAACTTCTTTTTGCACAAATCACATGTTGCAAAATTGGAGTCGATTTTAGAAAAATGCTGACAAATATTACTTGTTCTCGCCTTGACTCATTTTTAAATTTATAAGAGATAAGTATTTCAAAGAACAATTTAATAATTTTGGTTAAAATGGATAAAAATGTACACACTACTCAGTACACAAACTGATTGTCAGGCACAGCAAACAGAAAATAAAATGTTTACTGTAGTAATTAAAAATAAAACCTAAATATATTGCATAAGTTTTTAACGTGTTGTAACATGCATCTACTTAATATATTATAATGTTTGTATAATACAAGCTAGGGTTTTTACGTAAAATCAGTTTTTGACCAAATCGATTTTTATATTTAGATTTTAATTATATTTAATTTTTAGAAAATATTATAGGATTAGTCCCCCCAAAATAATTTGTCTATTTGCGCCTATGACATCGCGTTATTATCAAAAATGTTTTGATTTTTTTGAGCTATTTATAGACAGTTGATATTTTCGATTTTTTTTTTTTTCTAAAAATGTCTATAAAAAAAAATTAGACTGATCAATAAATCTTGAAAATGTATTACAAGGTTCCTCATAAGTAGTAGTTATTGTAATAAAAAAATTTAAATTATTTGAATTTTTTTTATTTGCGAAAATGTGTAAGTTATTTCAATGTTCGTATTGATAATAGATAACTTCTTAAAAAAATTGATCTTATAACCATAAATAAAAATGTTTAGGATTAATACACGAGTGAGACCCAGCTATCTAAAAAAAGATTTTTAATAAAAATAAAATTGAATGTTAAAAAACCAGACAAATCCCCCACTCCCTCATGACAAAATCATGTGTATTGTATGACAGATATATGATAATAAAATAATAAAATAATGTGTTCAGTGTTGTGTATTGGCAAAATGCATGAAATAGCAGTCGCTGCTATAATGCTATTTTTAATTTTATTAATATAATCATATTTTATTATGATATGATATTGGCAAAATGCATGAAGTATCAGTCACTGCTATAAATGCTATTTTATAATGATATGATATTGGCTTAATATATGAAGTAGCAATCACTGCAATTTTCACTGCTACTTTTCCAGTAGCAGTAGCAACTGTTATTGCTACTGCGAAAAAATCACAGTTTACCATCTCTAGCGGTGATGGACTGGTTTTTACCGCGTTAAGCCCGTCGTTGAAGCGGAGTGAAGGTAAAATAATGCGTATCACTCGGTACGACGGTAATGTCCGCGAGGGACGTTTATTTAATATATAAAAACATTGACCTCTCTCCTGACGGCTTGATTATCGCCGTGGTTATTTTACGTTGACTAGAATAGCACAACTCAATGCCGGCGAGGCAATGACCGTGTTCGGATAAACGGCGACAAAAAAAAAAAACAAAAACGTGGTCGACACTTAGTGTGCGGTGCGGAGACGATTTTTCAAGCGTGTAGTCCGACGAACGGTTGATGAGCAAGAGAGCGAGCCGCTGGCGGCCGGTACTCGTCTTGGGCGACTTGCCTTCCGGTCCCGCCTTTGACTTTGTGGCGTGGTGGGAGAGTTAGTGATGTCGCGCTCGTAGCCCGTGGTGGCGGTTTTCAAAAGCGCAGACCGGTCGCTGTGGTACCTGTACTTTGTACTGGTTGCCGCTGCGTACCGTGTCAAGAGGTATTCTCAAAAGGCAGTTAACTTGTTAAATTATTATTCAGATTCCTAAATATATACGTATATCAATGTAAAATAAAGATACAATAGATTCATTAAAATCCATATTTTAGTTTATAATTATTGAAGAATGAGTTGAAATGTAGAAGTTTGTTTTTTTAATTAATAAGTATAATAAGAATAATACGTAATAAGGATAACATAGCAAAATATACAAACGTGAATAACGTGAAGAGGAGACCGTTCATTAACTGAACATATTTTTTCCCCCTACTTTAGGAGATCTCTAGACCAGTTTCTTTTTAATCGACGTTGAAGTTGTGGTAATGTAAGAGAGGATATTTTTTGAATGAAGGAGCTTATGTGGTTTGTTAATGTTGAATGGAAACTTTTGTAGAGGCTTTTTGCAAGCTCGTTTACTGTTTGTATTTTTAGGTCATTATAGAGGGCTGTATTTGTTATGTGCCATGGAGCACGTTTGATAAGTCTTAGGGTAACTGAATGGAAGGTTTTAATAGGACGAATGCTTGCTTGCGGGTTTTGCTGGACCCTAAATTTGGATGAAATAGAAGCCCATCATGCCCAACGCGGTCAAAGGCCTGAGATATATCTAGAAATACCCCGGGGCAGTATTGCTTGTTCTCGAAGGAGGATGGCATCTTATCGGTGATTCTATGGAATTGGTGGATTGTGTTGTGTTTGCGACGAAAAGTGAACTGTGATTCTGGTAATATTTTATGTTGGTCAATTATTGGTGTAATTCTATGTAGAATTAGTTTTTCGAAGAGCTTGGCAAAAGTGGGTAGTGAACTGATAGGACGATAAGGTACTTAGGCTTATTAGGTTTAGAGATTATAATGATGATTAAATACTTCCATGTAAGAGGGAAGTAAGACAAACGTAGCATAGCATTATAGATATGAGTAAGAAACATGATAGACTTTTTTGGTAGATTTTTAGCCATTTTATTTTGTCCAGGTGATTTTTTAGGCCGAAGCTTGTGAATTACTGAAACAATTTCAGCGGGGGAGATCGGTTTTGTAGGAAGGGACATGGGCAAAGGGGAGGACAAGAATGAGGAGAGAAAATAGAGGACAAGTGATTACCATAAAGATTTGCTTTCTCTAAGTCAGAAATAGCTAATGTATTGTCAGGTCGTTAGATTAGAGGTCTTTGGTCTTTAGAGTCTTTGGTTGTTTTCCAGAGGGGGCCATTGTTGGGAGTCAGAGTAATTACATATTTACTAAATTTTTCAGATCTGTATTTTGCTAATTCAGTTTTTAAATCGATTATGAGATGGTTGTAAATAGTTTTGTGGCTAAGATATGTTGTTCTTTGCCACAAAGATCTAGCTTGACGTTTTGCTTTTATAAGATTAACTAAGAATTTACGAAGTGAAGTATGATATTTTGGTAGAATATTGTTTAAGGCGTGGGAAGAAGAACTTGATACTGAATTTTGAATCGACTTGGTTGATATGGAGATTGCATTGTTTATGTCTAGAGGACATTTTAATAGGAAATTGAGAGACAGTGAATCGTTTAATTTTTGTTGAAATAGTTTCCAGTCTATGGGGCCTGATGAAAGAGACTGCCTAGGGTAGGAGACGTTTAGGCCTCCTAAGGTTAACTGTATGGGAGAATGGTCACTTGATAGGTGATTTATTTTTTTTATATGGTATTTTAAACCAGTTGGGATTGAGGTTATGAAAACATCGATAATATCGGGAGATCTGTTCTCATGTGTAGGCCACAAACAATTTATTTTTTAGTATTGAAGTATGAAATAATCTACCTCTTGTGTTAGCGTATCTACTACCCATTGTGTATGTTTAGCATTAAAGTCACCTCCTATTATAAAAGAGCTACCAAGACTTTGGAGAAATGATTGCAATTTGGGTTCTGTGATTTGTTGATCTGGAGGAAATTAAGCTGATGAGATTGTAACGTTTAAATGATTTATTTTTATAATTTTTCTTGTAGGTACGATTTGTTGATATTTTGCATTTGATTATAAAAAAGTGAGGATTTTATTAGTATTGCAGAACCCTCATGGGATGTGCCATCGGGATGGTCAGCTCTAATAGTTGTGTAGTTGAGTTGCCATTAAAATTTATGTTTGCCGATTTTGATAGGCGCGTCTCTGTAATGAGGGCTATATCTATGTTTTTATTGTGGATAAGGTAAAAAGTGCATTACTATGCTGTTTTAATCCATTGGCATTCCAAAGGAATATTTATAGGGAGGAATGATTGGTTGGGTTTGAAGTCATTTTGTATCTAGGACTTTGTCAATTACTTTTTTAAGAAGTGATATAAGATGATTAATTAGTGTTTGTAGTTCGTTTATAAATGAATAAATGAAGTAAATTGAGCAGTTAGTTGAGTTTCAGTATCTAAGTGGGGTTGGTTTTTTGGTGTATTTGTGTTTTTGTTTTGAGATTAGCTTGAGATTAAGATAGGATAGGTGTGGGTGTTTATTGATGTTCTCTAATAATCTTATGACTGGTTTGGGTTTGTACATTATTATTATTTTCTTGGTATCTGATGTTATTGTTGAGATGATTTTTATCTGCTTGAGAAGAATTACGGTTTCTACGATTTTGATTGTTCTTGAGAGATGGGCAACCTCTA